AGAGAGGGAACACAAGCAGGGGGAGTGGGAGAGGGAGAAGCAGGCTTCCCGCAGAGCAGGGAGCCTGATGTGGGGATCGATCCCAGGACCCTGGGATCATGACCCGAGCCGAAGGCAGACGCTTAATGACTGAGCCACCCAGGCGCCCCCACAATCACCATTTCTGCCTCTGATTCTGTTCCCCTTTCCAGGACCTCCGTTCACATCCTCCAATCTAAGCTGCCTGTGGCTGCCACCTTTGCCACATCTCTTTCTTCATCTAGCTCTGAAGTCAGTCTTCTGGACAGTAAGAGTGGCTGGGAACTTTTAAGGAAGCTAGGTGGGGGTAAGGGCAGGGATCCCAGGACTGGGTGAGGCTGAATCTGAATGGTGTGTGGGTGTCTGCTGCCTAATTGTTTGGCACTGGGTAGATGGAATCTCTGCCTCTTTTTTGGTGAATCCATCATCCTCTGTTATTACTTGTCCCAAGTTAGGCCTGTCTGTTCCTCCCCATCAGACAGGCCCAGGGCTTAGTTCTATGTGTATCATAGTGCTTGCTGATGGTTTGTTTTCTCTTCCTTTTCTCTCCTCTTAGATCTCCAGAGGAGCACACTTTCTAAACTGGAGCCCAGCAGCTTACAGCTCTAGGCCCAGAGCCCTGAGCAGGAGAACCTCTTCTTTAAGGGCCTCACAATGTTCCTGAGTGACCTGTAAGGACTTGAAAGAGTAGTTTTGCTCACCTTCCCCTCCAAGGCCTTGTTTCTGGGCCCCCTGCCCCTCTTCTTGATCTAGTTGGTATCTGCCCTCCCTACTGAGGCTTGTCACTGCCTGCCCATCCCTGTCCACCAACTGCAATAAAATGTTTTAACCCTCCCTGATATCTTCTGTGAATCAGCACCTACATGGGATAGACTTAACTGTACCTTTTCTTTCTCCTGTTACTTGACTGCTTCCTGACATCTCTCTCTCTCTGAAATCCAAGTTCATAGATATTTATAGCTGTACCTTCTGAGTGCAAGCCCTGTGCTTAGTGGAACTTGGAAGAAGATGGGAGCTCCTGTTCTGGTGGGTAGAATGAGGTAGGACAGTGCTCTGGGGTAGTGTTGCTTTGGGGATGCAGAGGAGAGCGAGGCATTCAGGTAGGCCTTGGACCTGAGTAGTAGAAGGCTTCCTCTCCTCATCGTCAGTTTCTGCCTCTTAAGGCTTATTCCAGTCCCGCCACACCGCTTCATCCTCAGCAGCCCAACCCAGCTTGCATTTTTGTAGTAGTTTCCTAATCTCTTTTCTTTCAGTTTCTGCCTCTAATCCAGTGGCTTTTAAAATTTTTTGACTGAGACCTCTGGTAAGAAATACAGTTTACATTGTGGTAAATATACATGTATATATTTGTTAAATGATATATACATGTATATATTTACTAAATAAAACAAATTTCATGATTTATTTTTTTAAAAGATTTTATTTATTTATTTGAGAGAGAGAGAGCGAGAGCGCGTGAGCACAGAGGGAAAAGGAGAAGCAGACCACCCGCTGAGCAGGGAGCCCGATGCAGGACTCGATCCTGGGACCCCAGGATCATGACCTGAGCGGAAGGCAGACGCTTAACCATCTGAGCCACCCAGGCGCCCCCAGATTTCATGATTTAATACTCATTGAATCACTAGAAGTGACGTACTCTGATATTTCCTATTATATTAAAAAATAGGCCTTGTGGCTATTGGTTCTAATCCTTCTATCACTTGGTTGGAAGTATATCTTTCTATGTAGACTAAGGGCAGCTTTACTTTCACCTTACCTAGATTTTGTATTCTAGACAATGCAGTCCAAGATTTCCTTAGAAGCAGCAGCATCCTACTAAGATCTCATGAGGTCTCTTCCACTGCTAAATATAGACAAAGGGTAGTGGATATTTATTGAGCATAGTACATACCAGCCCTGGTATGTATTTGCCCTCAGCTAAGATGTACAGTGGGCTCATAAGGGTCCCAGCTCTTAGCTCCATCTAGCTGGGAAGAGGAGACAATTATCTGAAATAAAAGCATAATAAAAGGGTGAAATGAGTAGGTAGGAACTACTTCCTGTTATGGGGTATATTCAAGGCCTTGGCCTAAGTAGCAGACAGGTCATGAAGAGTGGACCTTTGACACCTGAATAGCTGTAAGGCATTCCTTGGTTCTTTCCCCTCAGTATTAAGGAGATTGCTGAGGGGCACCTGGATGGTTCAGTCAGTCAAGCGTCCAACTCTTTCTCATGATCTCAGGGTCATGGGATTAAGTGGAGAGTCTGCTTGAGATTCTCTCCCACTCTCTATACCTCCCCCCTCAATCTCTCCCTCTCTTTCAAATAAATACATAAATCTTAAAAGAAAAAAGAGATTGCCGAGAGTGGAATGGTAGAGATCAGGCTTGGGTCAAACAGAACTTGTTCAAAGAATTAAATACTTGCCATCAAGGCTCATCTTCCTACTCAAGGTACAAGTAATCCTTGTCTTTTACATCTTTCTTTGGGCAAATAATACATCTGGTATGATGGTATTATTCAATTCTACTTGGTACAAGTGCTGTACTTATTTATCAACTACTTTGCATCAGGCTTTGTGGGAGACAGGTTTGCAAGAGTGCCAGGGCTCTAACAACAGAAAAATTCAATAGCAATGTGGAACAATGGTATTTGAACTGTCACCAGGTGGCAGCACATTATGTATTGCCATAAGAATGATACAGAAAAGGCTTTGGGCCAATGGTACTGGGCTGGGGTGATTTTTTTTCTCCTTTTGGAGATACTGTGAGCTACCAATTAATCTAACTAAAACAGTATCCTGTTAAGGCTATTCTGCTCAAGAACCTTTGACCGTTCTCACAGCATAAAATAGAAAGGACAAATTAGGCATTTAAGCCCACATTTAACCTCTATTGTTGTCTCCTATCACGTATCTTTAAAATTTTTTTAAATTTAAGTGTAGTTGACACACAATAATACATTACTTTCAGGTATACAACATAGTGATTGGACAAGTTTATACATTATGATATGCTCACCACAAGTGTAGCTACCATCTGTTACCACACAATGCTAATATAATATCATCGACTACATTCCTTATGCTGTGCCTTTTATTCTCATGATTTATTCATTCCATAACTGAAAGCCTGTCACTCCCCTTCACCCATTGTGTCCCTGTCCTCTCCAGCAACCATCAGTTTGTTCTCCATATGTAGCCTCCATAACCAGGCTACAGGTCTGGTTATGCTTTTTGTTTGTTTATTCATTCGTTGTTTTTTAGATTCCACATATGAATGAAATCATACATTTCTTAAACTTTATTGCCGCAGGAATGCACACCACCTATACTATTCAAATCCCACTCATCTGTCAAGACCCTTACAGTAGGAGGCACGTCTAAAGATGTCTGAAAAGAGGTCTCTTATCCAAGGGAGTACTGGTGCAGGAAGGCCCATACTCCAGTGTTTCTTTGCCTGCTCTCGCCCTGGAAGCTCTAGCCCTGTTCCAATCTGCTCAGGCGTGAGATTATGAGCACCTGAAGTCCAGGTATATGGAAAGCACGAGGAAGGAAATATGTGCATGTTGAACAGAATTCTTATTCCGTATGCAGCTTTTTCCAAAAATTTCAGTTTTCAAGCCAGCCCAAGTGTTATCACCTCCAAGAAGCCTTCACCAAATCAAATCTCAGTCTAGATGAATAGCTGCCTCAGCATTTTAACCCTACCCATTGCTCTTACTATCTCAAGTAGCTAATAATAGTTTATGTATCAGTTTTTCCACTATACTGAGGTCCTGCAGGATTCTGCGTTCATATCGGTTTTCTTTATTCAGGTAGTCCTTACTTAGCTATACCCTTAACCAACCGAAAAGCCGCGTCAGTGGAATCCATTTTCTGTTGGTTTTATTAATTACCAATGATTGTTCTCTCTCGTGTTTACTGTCCCCCCCCCCCCCCGCGGTGGAGGCTTGGGACTTGGGTTTCCCCCAGGTGTATTCCCTCCTCCTTGGTTCCGCCTTCCCAACACACTGCCCCTTCTGTTTTTAACCTCCTCTTCCTTCGTATTGGTTCTCTTCGTCTTACAGTCTTCCAGAGTTGGCGCCTAGGGCTGTTGATTGGCTTTCCCGGACGCCTATTGAGGCCACCCTCATACCACGTGGCATTCCTAATGCTAATTGGGTAATTCCACTAGCTCGTTTATCAAAGATTGACGATTGATTGGCTGCTCGGAGGCTTGAGGAGAGGGGCGTGCTCACCTTAAGCCCCGCCCAAGTCCCCCTGCCTGGCTGGGCAGGCGTTTCAGTCGCTCGCGGCCGCGGAGCTCAGCGGAGGTTCAGCTGCCTTTCCTGGCTCGCCGTTGGGATCATCCTCCTGGCCCCGCCAAACGGACGGGGGGAACGGTCCCGACTGCGGGGCCATGGCAGTAGCCTCCTCGTCCTTCGCTGCCGCTAGTTCCGCCGAGTCGCCGGCTTCTGCGCGAGGGATCCCCACCACCTCCGCAGGCTAAGAGCCTCTGCCGCTTCCGAGCTGTGAGGGCTACTATGCTCCCACTTTGCTGCTGCCTCCGCCTCCCGCCCGCGCCGGCACCCCTCTGGCTGCTCAGTCCCGCCTCAGGTAACGCCAAGAGAGCGCATAAGGCACAAGCCCGGGGCGCCCTGGCCCGCGCGCGCGGCTCCTACGCCGCCACGGCTCCGGAGCATTGGCGCTAGGGTCTCTCAGCACTGACAGGACCCCTTCGCTTCCCAAGGTCCTCCTCTGAGCGGCTGGGGGATACTCCTCGATCCCTTTCCCTTCCCTTTTCACTTTCCTCAGGGACCCAGGACAGCCCCCCCCCCCCCCCCCCGCTTCCTCGCCTCAGAGGCCGGGAACCCATTAGAAGTTCCTTCGTTATCAGGGACCTGGTCCTTGACTCTTCTCAGGGACTTTTCTCACTTGAGAGACTCAGGAAGCCCTCATTTTCTCGGAGAACTCTTGTTTCAGATAGCTCCAACTCCACACAGAGAGCCTCCCTCGTCCCTCAGAGATCTGGACCCCTTTACTTTACTTCCCTCAAACATACTCTTCCCTGGAAACTCCCCTTCTACGTTAAAGTACTCTGGCCTCACCCCCCACCCCTCCCCAAGACACTACCGCGTCCCTCTCTTTTCCCTCCTCCTGTCATCCTTATTCTCCCCATCCTTCCTTTTCCCTCTTCTGTCTTTTACACTTCACTTGGAAGACTCTGGACTAAGCCAGTATTTAGATTTAGCTAGAAATGAAACCCATGTTTGTCTGATTTAGAGACCTTGCCGTTTATAACTCTGAGAAAACCTTGCTGAAGAATTTGGACTCTATTCTGTAGGTATGGGGAGCCAATGAAAGTTTTGTAAGCAGGAGTTTGGTGTGATTGATTATCTCTGGTGAGCATGTGGAGGAAGAATTGAAAGTGAAGACAGTGTTGAGGCAGAAAGCCTAGGTAGGCAGGAAACCAGTGTGCTAATCCAGGTCAGAGGGGGTGAACTGGAATAGTGGTAGGAAAATGAAGAGGGTGGCATGCACTTCCAGGAGGTTTCAATTCCATGAAGTTTCCAGAGTTGAGAGGGTTAGTGGAGGTTTCTGACTTCGTTGGTGGGATGCATTGGTAGTGTTAATTGTAATAGGGAACATAAAGAAGCAGTTTTGAGGGAAGGTAATTAATTTCGTTTTGGACATGTTTAATTTGAGGTATTTTTCAGATATCACTGTGGTTTGCTGGAAATTTGGGTCTGAAAATTGGGAGTGAGGTTGGAACTGAATACATAAATTTGAGGGTCAACAGAGAATATAAAACAGGGATATTTGAAGACTTAGTATGGGATGGTAATACTGAAAGAAGAAAAGGGCTGTGGACCAGAAGGA